ATAAGCTTTTTGTCTGCCTTTTGTTATTAATAATATGAATGTTTTTCTCTGGATAAATATGTTAACATAGGTCTATTTTGTAAATGTAGGACTAACCATGTCAGGAACTGTGAGAAATTTAAGCCCTAATGTCCTCAGATCTCCTGTCCTTGGGAGAGTTGGGAAAATGAGCCCTCCAATCCTGTGCTGTTCTGAGGTAGAGAAAGCCTGTGTGACTGCACAGTTACTGGCGACAGTTACTGAGGGAGAGGCCTGACCTACCGCACGTGCCACTTTCTTCCCTGGGCCCTTGGCTGGTAGTGAGCTTGGTTCTGTAGCTGCGACCACAGTGGTAGCTGCGAGCACAGCGTGGGCGGCAGCATGCTACCTGAGCCAGGCTCGATGCTGCTGGCCTCACTTAATTCTCACAGTGGCTCAGTGAGCTAGAGATGGTGTTGCCACCCCAATTCACAGAGTGTCTGTGGGAGCTCAGGGTCATGGGACTGGGCTGCCCCGCTCTTGAACCTGGCCTCTTGACCACTTTGCTGTCTGTCTTAGGAAGGATTCTCTTCTTAGTCTCCTTCCTTCCTTTCTTCCTTGGGTGGTTGCTTGTTAGTTGGGTATACTGCTCTCTTCTCCCTGTTCCTTCAGGTTCCCCAGCATAAGTAAGCATTTTGGACAGGGTTGAGAATACTGAAGCAAAGTATACTTTGGTATGCTTACCTTGCTCCGTAAGAGGTCGAGGATTTCCACAATGAGAAAGCAAAGTTTGATTTTTTTCTTGTGACTGATTATTTACTAGTTAAATTGGTCATGTTGCATTTAATGCCATGACATCCTTTACTAGTGAGGACCCTGTGTTGCATGATCATTGTGAGGATTTAGTGTGGATGCCACTTGTTTGCTTCAGCATATCCTTAAGCATCCCTGGATAATTGTATTTGCTTAATTAACTCAGGAAGCACATAATCAATTTTTAACCATCTTAAATGCTCATGACACACTACTAGGCATCAGGGTATACCACTAGGGGTCTTAGGACAGAACACCCTGCCCCAATGGCTTCTACAGGCAAAGCTGTGTTTTCCTTGTCCAGTCCTGCTGGATGACTTAGTGACTGTGGGACTCAGCTTCCTTCTGCCCTGCTGCCCACACAGCCTTCCGTGGGGTCTGATGGCCAGTCTTCAGCCTGGGCCCCAGTACCCTTGGGTGCCTGTGGAGATTTCTGAGGGGGATCAGCTTTCAGGTCACCATCCTCCAGACAGTCCTTCCTAAAATTGGTTGAGAAGGCGTGCCTGAGTCCAGGTGTCTTCCCACCTTTGCTGCTCAACTGCCCTTCTCTTTTCCAAAACACAGAGAAGTCATGTCCCTCAACCAGACTCTTACCCTAGAATGTGCATAAATGCAATAAAATTATCTTCCAGAGCACCAAACCTAGAGACAGTTCAAAATACTGATTGAGGGAAGCATCTTGTAGTAGAAAAAGACAGGCAATGTAGGCACCATGAGACTGTCGCCAGCTTGCCTCTTCTGCTCAGATGTTTCTGAGGATGATCCCTGAGATGTTCTGGCCTGAGGCTGTGGGGGCATGGGCAAGATATAGTTCGGTGTGATTATCTTGCTCCGTAAGAGGGGTAGCTGTTCTTATCTGAAGTCTTCACTTTTTCTAACCCTCTGCTGTTGACAGTGCTGTTGACGTATTACTTTTAAGGAGAGTCCTTTGTGTGACTGAGCATAAGCAGTTCTTTTTAGCCTTTGACTTGTTATCTCTAGGATGCGTTGTTAAGTGGGAAGAAAAATAACTCCTGATGCTAAAACAGTACAAGTTAGTGGCAGTGTTTCTTTTAAATATAACTATGGTGTCTGCAGGACTACCAGAGGCCCTGACTTAGATTAAAAAGAGAAATTCATGTGATTTTTTTCCATATTTTATGCTAATATAGAAGTTAAAATCAGTTTAGATTGTCATGAAAGATTCTAGTTACAATTGACCTTAATTCCTGTTATAAAAGTAATGCCTTAATTATATTAGTGGAGATAGAATCATATTCTAGTTACTAATTTATTAGCAATGTATATCCTGGGTTTTTAGTATAAAGAAAAAGTATAATCGTGATGTCTAGCAAGATTGGTGAAATTATTTCTGATTTTGCATACATGATTCTGAATTTTCCTGTGATGTGGATAACATACATGCTAGCACACATTTGATGGGGGAATACAGTACTTCTGTCATATCTCTTGCTTCACAGGTAACTTAGAGTGTGACATACACATTTGGCATTGAATCATTACAAAATAAGTAATAAGAAATGGCTTGAATTTTTCTTGTTTTTGTGTTATAAAACTTGCTAATAAATATTAGCTAATACATCATTTAAGTCTTGCCTGCTTTTAAAAACAACCTAATAAGATATACTATTTGATTACTTTCTTAATTTATTCTGTGTTGTTTTGTTTTGTTTTGTTTTTTGAGTTGGAGTCTCACTTTGTCGTCACCCCAGCGTCAACTTGCTGGGCTCAGGTGATCCTTCCACCTCAGCCTTCCAAGTAACCAGAACTACAGGTGTGCTCTACCACGCCCGGCTAATTTTTAAATTTATTGTAAAGATGAGGTCCTGCCAAGTCACTTAGGCTCTTCTCAAACCTGTTGTCTCAGGCAATCCCCTCACCTTGGCCTCTCAAAGTGCTTGGATTATAGGCTTGAGCCAACGCACCCAGCCATTCTGTGGTGTTTTTAAAATAATACTCCTTGAAACATGTTTCAGTATGTTTATCTGGATTAAAAAATGAAGTCAGAAAATAAGCATAATGTAAACATTCTGACAGACATTCTCCCCTGAATTTCAGAATTATCTCAATCTGTAACTGCAAAGTTGTGATGAAATTGTATTTAAAGCATTTTATTTTTACCATTTTATTTTTCAAAATTGCTTTTCAATTGGTAGAAATAGGTGCTGACTCTGTCTAATTCTAGCAATTAGCAATATTTAAACAGATACATGAACTGGGGACAAAAACAGCCAGTCAGTCCCTCTCCTCTTGTGATGCATTCTCAATACAATTTTCCTTTTCATATAATAATTATCAAAGTTTCTAATGTATTTCATTTTGATTTTTTTTGCACTGCTAATAATTGCAATAGCAATTCAAACAAAAATGTTAACTCCTAGAAATTGAATAAAATTTCAATTTATGTACATGTTTTTATTTCAGGGAAATATGCTAGGGTGATAAAAGACTTCAAAGCATAAAAAATGCATTCAGGTAAACGTCTTGGAGGTGAGTGGAATAGTACACAAGTTCAAGAATATAGGATACCTATTTTTAGTGTACCCCACATTATTGTGCTTTGCATATATGCGTTTTTTTCCACATTGAAGGTTTGTGGCAATCCTGCACCCAGCAAGTCTGTCAGCCTCGTTTTCCTACAGCATGTGCTCATTACTTGTTTCTGTGTCAGCATCTTTTAGCAAAATGTATTTTTTTAAAATTGCGGTCTGCACACTTTTTTAGACCTCATGCTATACACACTTAGTAGACTACAGTATTGGGAACCAATGAGAAATTTCTTCAGAAGGGTAAGTTTTGTGCCCTAGGTGCCTCTTTTGCCTCACCCCAGCCCCTCTCTGCTATCTGAAAGTGAGTCAAGCAGTTAGAAAGGAGAAAACTAGACTTTGGAGAACAATCAGAGGTAATCCAGTTTGAGGGTCACTGGGTCTTCTGGAGCAGAGAACCTGGCAGAGAAGCAGAAAGGTAGTATTCTGTAATGGAAGCGCATCTCCCACAGAGACGGAGAGCTGAATCTGCTCTCCAGAAACATCCTGGTTAGTTAGTATTTGCACTTAAAGAGAAAGCACTCTTCAGGCACCCAGGGAGAAGACTGCAGGGTGTGTGTGTACATGCTGGGGCACCCAAGGTCTTTGCACCCAGCTGGCTTGTCTGCCGAGTGTGAAAGCCGTCCACACTTGTGAGTGAAGGTCTCAAGACACAGGGTGCCGCAAGACACAAGAAAGGGGTTGGAGGAGACAGCCGGTGAAGGAGGCAGCCGTGGTGTGCAGGGTGAATTGTATGTGCCTCTTAGAACCTTCACGACAGACTTGCCACAGCAAGAGCAGCCTGCCTTGCGTAGCCGAGTCCCTCCGTTGAATACTTGTATTAGCAATAGCTTGTATGATCAGCACTGTATAGTTATTTTCATGAAACCAGGCAGGGACGTGTGTATGTAGCATAACAGTATCTGAGATTTCATGGATTGTGGTGAGCCAACCACTGTTCTGAGTTCTCATCACACAGTTGCTTATCAGTCCTTCCCAAGTCTTGTGAGGTCTGGACTGTATTCCTGTTTTACAGACAGAAAACACTGATGCCCAGAGCTTCAGTACCTTGCCCAGAGCAGGTGAACAGTGTGACCTCCATAGGACATACTCTGGGTCTGCCTCGGGCCTCCTAATGTTCATGGGGTTAATTCTGGGTGTAAGAATTTTTTCCCCTTCTTTTACTTTATTTCATTCTTTTTTTTTTAAAGAACATATATTTGCAAAAGCAATGGAGTGATGATTTTGAAAAGGAAGCTGGCCAGAAACAGTAGTCTGAAGGAGTTGCAGCCATTGGCCTGCTCCTGTATTGCCCAAGGGGGGAACAGACGCCTGCATTCTTCCTTTTCTGTGATTCCGCTGCTCTGTAAGTGCTTACTCAGTTGCACTCTGGCAGTCTCTTGCTGTTGGAGCCAGAGGGATAAAGAAGAGTCTCTGCTTTCAAGGAATTAACCACTTGGGTCACATTCTTCTCTGGTGAAAAGATATGTGTGATACATTTTTGAAATAAAAATCCTGGGTTTTTGTGTGTTTGGTTTTACTTCTTGCTTCGCGATTATTCCTGCTGAGTAATTTTACGGTTCATGCTGTGCAGAATGACAGTGAAGGGAAAGGCTGTTTCCCATGGTGTGACCTCAGTAAGGGTGGGAGCCTGGCCAGCAGATTGTATATTGGGTGTGCTGGTTGTTATTTATTTCATTTTAGGCGCCTCAGGGTCTACGCAAAGAAAAACAAAAGGTGGCAAAATCAGTCCCCCCCACCTCCATTCAACCCAGGGCAGTTGGTTTTGTGGGAGTCTCATGGTGCCCAGCGGAGGACAGCCCGGACCCGCTCCAGCAGCTGGGGCACCACGCATTCCAGTCCCATCACTACAGGTAAGAGCAGTGAGCCACACAGGGCGACCAGGTAGGCTGGAGGGTCACATGGTATCTGAGGCACATCACTTGGCCCACTCCTGCTGGCCACTGTCCTCACTAACTGCCCACTCCCCCTTCTGAACCCCTAAGTCCTGTTTCTCATCCCGAATATCTCCTAACAGCCCCAGCTCTTTCTTCTTAGACTGTCATGCTGCATCTGCCCAAGCTCTGACCTTTGTTGGAACTGACACAGCTGCTTTCTAACAGCATTTGTGACCCTGTGTGCAGCCCTCCAGGGCTGACACCCCAGCCTCTCTCTGAGATGTAACAGGCGTGGCCCCTCACCTGCCCAAGGCCCCTGAGGCTGTCTGTAACCAAGTGAAGGCTGAACTCCTCCCTAAGTGGTGTCTGCCTCGGCTGGGTGGAGGGACTCCTCTAGCCTTCCTGGTCACCTTGTCTCTGGGGACTGCTTGAGGCATACCCACAGGCGCAGCCTTTCCATGGTAAAGGTGGGCTGTTTTTGTTTTGTTCTTCTGTTTGATTTTTTACTAAACTGAGCCCCTGGAGGACAGGCCCAGGTATTTCAGTCTATGTCTGGGACCTGCGGATGCCTGCAGCTGTGGCCAGTCCCCGAGTGCTCACTGAGCATGTGCACTTCAGCGGCCCTATGTGTATCTGTGTCCCCAGTCTCATTTCTGAGACTGAAATAACGAAGCAAGACAGTTTGGAAGGTTCTAGGGAGATAAGAGATTTCAAGGCTTAGACTATCTAGCTTTGAGCTGGCCTGGTCATATGCCACCTCTTCATTGAGCACCACTCTGGGGCTGCAGATTCCCCCGTGGCAAGGAAACACAGTTACAGGTGTAGGAGAACTTCTGAGTGCCAAGTTACCTCTGATGCTCATACGCAGAAGAAACTTTTGCAGACAGGCAAGCTCTTGGGGTCCGTGGTCCTGGGGAAGGGTTGTAAAGGAAACAGGAGAGCTCAGGGCTTTGACGGGTGAGGAGAGGGCCCGCCTGGGTAGAGACGACTGGGGCTCGGGGGAGGCCCTGTGCTGGCCGGAGACAAGTTGTTGGGGATCTGGTGGGGCAGGGGCTCAGAGGCTTATCTTAGAGATGAGCAGGAACACTTGTCGCTTTCTCCTGGTTTGGGTCCAGGGGGTTGGAGCAGCCTGGAGCTTGTGGAGAGGTAAGAGAGCCCTAAAAGCAGGGCAGTGAAGGGCATAGAGGACCATCTGAGGGAATGCTGGTAAAACTGGCAGGTTAGAGGCTGTGTGCAGGGAGACAAGAGAGCTGGTGCTGTGGGCAGGAGAACAACAAGCTGGAAGGGAAGCAGGGGTGTGTTTGTAAGACTCCTTATTAACCCTTTGCACTCGGATGGGGGACATCATAAACCTAGAAAACCACTCTGAGGTCCCCTCTCAGGGGACATAAGGAGATGGCTGGTGATTATACAGGATAAACTTACGCAAGTTCAATTTTTAAAAAATGTATGTTTCCTTGAAGTTTTTCATTCAAAAACAATGAATATCCTATATCCCAATTGAAATTTGTCAAGCTTCTGATCGATCAGTTGAGAAGTGGTTTTCAGGAATCATGAGTGTGTCCTTCTACATCTTCTTTGAACAACAGACTGGACAATAAATTACATATTATTAATGTGGGAGGAAGAAAATAAGACTGCTTTGTCTGTCTGAATAGAACAACACCCAGCACTTTGGGAGACTGAGGCAACTTGGTAATACTTCATCTCTACAATAGATCAAAAAATTATAGTTCCAGCTACTTGGAAGACTGAGGCAGAAGGATCACCTGAGCCCAGCAGGTCGAGGCTGCAGTGGCCGTGAGTGTGCCACTGCACTCCAGCCTGTGCAACAGAGTGAGACTCTGACTCAAAAAAATAAAGAAAAAAAAAACACCAGGTGGAATATATTGAACAAATTATATTACACAACATATATCAGTGAACTTGCAATGCATGTTGGCGACTGTTTCACATGTTACCAAACGTTAGGAAAATATACAAAATTTTGTTTTTTTTTGTTATAAATAAGTTCCTCAATGTCCAGAATTCCATTGTAAGCCAAATATCAATACAATAGAATAATTGGTTCCAGTGCTCTACTATTTAATATGAAGGGATTCATTTTTCACTATTTTGTAAAATGCAGTCCAGTTGCTGGTAGGACATCTGTGAGATGTCTCCATGTGCAAAGGGTTAACAATGTGAGCTGTGAGGACAGGGACCTGGGTTTGAATCGTTTTTCTGTTCCTTACCAGCTAGCTTTGGGCCAGTTACCTAAGTACTGTGAGTCTCGGTTTTGTCATCTGCAAAAAGGGAATAATAGTCTCAGTGCTTGACTTGTAGGAGGTTTTTGAGGTAGTAGAGGAACGAGAGGTAGGAGGGCAGTGGCACCAGTTGGACCGGGGTTGGCCATGGGCTAGATACACAGGTGCAGAAGTCAGTTGCTGGGCATTATTCCTGCCTAGACGATGCAGGGCCTGGCTGCCTTCCCTCAGGGAGCCTTGATATCTACCCTGCTACCTTCTCTCTGACCCATGGGCAAGCCAGGGCACACAGGGAAGCCTTCTCCATAGAGTTTGAGAGAGAGCCACAGGGATAAGTGTGCTGGGGGGGGGTACCTGCAAGGAGTTGAGGAACACCCTTCAAGAGGGAAGTTGGCATTTGGGTTTACTGAGGAGAGGAGCCAGGCGGCAGAATGTTTCAGGCCCTGCTGAGGTGGCTGGGCCTGGGCTAGGATCAAGGTGTGAAAATGAGGACCAGGTTTGGGGGAGGCAAGTGGTCCCCAATGCCCAGTAGCAATTACGACCAGGTCTTGGGGCCTCCCCTAGAACACAGTGGGTGGGCTGGCTCTGTGGAGCATCACAGTGGAGATTGCTCCTCAGGCCAGCATGAAGAGTGCCACTGCACTAATCTAATCAACATTGCTGCCTCCAGGATGAGCCCTCCGGCGAAGGAGTCCTGCCGCCAGCCCATGGCCTGCTCGCCTTCCATTCCTTCCTTACCATCGACCTGCCCGTCTACGTCTTCCAGGTCTGGATGCCTTACTGCCCTTGGTTTTCTTGTTGAGGTTGCAGAGCCTCCAGCTTCCAGAAGGCTGACTTCAAGTCGCAGGGTGGTCACTGAGGCTTTCTTGCCATGGAGGCCCATGGGGTTGGTCTCCTTGATGTCTTGCTGCCTCTGGAGAAGGTGGTAGGTGACATGCCAGGAGTGAAGCTTGGATTTGCACATCACCACAGCTCCTGCTTGTAAATAAGGTGGAGGTGATAACACTCTTGAGATGCTTTATATTTAGGAATTGCCGCCGCTTCTTTTGTGAGAAGAAAGCTGGCCAGGCTCAGCCTGTGGGAGGGTAAATGCAGGTGAATTCAGTAGTTTGTACAAAGTCAGGAGTTAAGCTGAGGATAGATGGCAGTGGATACTTAGAGTTAGCTGTGAAATAACAAAAGTATGTGGCTTAGCACATTTCTGGCATTTTGGCTTAAATATGTATATTTAAAATCCACACAAATGGTAACTTTACTTTTGTTGTCTTCAAATTGGGCTTTTCAACATTTCCTTGATATCAGGATCACACAGACTGAAGTGGGAGCAGAGGGCCAGGCCCCAGACAGCAGGGGCAATGGAGGGTTATTGGTGGCATGGATCACAGATGTCTGCTACCCTCTGTCTGGCAGCCCCACTCATGGGTCCACCCTAAAAAGATAAAGTAGTAGCCAGGTGCGGTGGCTCATGCCTGTAATCCCAATACTTTGGGAGGCAGAGGCGAGAGGATTGCCTGAGCCCAGGGCTTCCAGATCAGCCTGGGCAACTTGGTGAGACCTTGTCTCTATACAAATAAAAAAAATTAACTGGGCATGGTGGTGTGTGCCTATGGTTCCAGCTACTTGGAAGGCTGAAGTGGAAGGATTGCCTGAGCCCAGCAGGTTGTGAGGCTGTGGTGACCATGAGTGTGCTATTGCACTCCAGCCTGGGCAACAGAGTGAGACTCCAACTCAGCTAGACGGGCTGGTACAGCCCTGAGCCACATCTTGGTCACTGACAGTGTGGACAGATGCCTGATGCCTGGGAGAGGTGCGAATGGAAAAAGGGTTGCAGAAATAGATATGCAGGATTTTATTTTTGCAAAAAAGCACATGGAGTGCTTGAGTATGTGTGGGTATACATCGGTGTGCGTAGAGTACAATCTAGAAAAACTTAGAACACGGTATTGAGTTCGTTTTCCCCTTTTTATGTTTTGTTAAACATTTTTCCAAAGAACATGTGTTTGGAATAAGAACCTATTGTTTTTTGGGGTCTTTTTGGTTTTTTTGAGTCTCACTCTGTCACCTGGACTGGAGTGCAGTGGTGGCTGCTCCCCGCCACCACAGCCTTGACCTACTGGGCTCCGGCGATCCTTCTGCCTCAGCCTTCCAAGTAGCTGGAACTACAGGCGTGAGCTACCACGCCCAGC